AAAAAGTTTATGATTTAATTACAAAATTGCCACCGCGCTACATACTATGACGGGTGGACTACGACCGTGATATAAACTCGTCATAGAATGCTATTTTTCCACTAGTGCCCTTTTGTAAGACCCTCTTGATCAGTCCCTTTTTGTAAGACTTGATCTGGTTTCGAACCCCCCTTTTGTAAGACTCTTGTGAGTTTGAACCCCCCACCAGGTTGTAAGCTGACGAGCCCCCTTTTATAAGACTCTGCCGATTTGAGAAATCCCCTTTTGTAAGACCCTCTTGATCAATCCCCTTTTGTAAGACTTGATCTAATTTCGAATCCCCTTTTATAAGGCTCTCGCTGTTGATAATCTTTCTGATTGCAGGATACTTTTTCTGGTAGTTGATCCTGAGGCTGATGAGTATGAACCCTTATCTGGTTTTGAGTAATTTGTTTTGGACCTAAAAATGTGTTGGCATCTTACTGCTTCTGATCATTCACCGATGATGAATGTAGATATCCACAGGGTGTTCTCTTCGACCTTGTGGTGATGAGTACGAACCCCCATCTGGTTATAGTCCTTTTTCTTGGACTGAATTGTGTGTTAGCGGCTAACTGATCTCGGTCATGCGCTGGCACCATGGGGAATAATTTTTGTTTGAAGAGTGTTAGGTTGACTTTTTGTTGTAGTCATTCGGTGCGCCAGGGATTCTTTGATTTTTGGATTTTACAATAACCATCCAACTTATTGATTGTCGAAGTTTTTTTATGAATGCCTCTTAGGTAGGCAGGAATCCACTGGGGATTTGTTGATTATGATAATGCTTCTAAGTAGGCAGATACTTCATTGAGATTCTAGTAATGCCTCTGAGTAGGCAGATACTTCATCGGAAGTGAAGACTTTTGACTGCATTTGTCTTGCCTCTGACTAAGCTGATATTCCCTTATAGGGATACTGACTCTTGCTTGTCAGGTCTTGCCTATGCGTAGACAAATGACTTTTTGAAGATGAATTTGAAGTTTTGCCTTTGAAGGTAAAAAGACAGTGGTTTTTTAGAAAAAACCAACTTTGGTCATTACAACCAGAGTCGGGTAAGGGAGTTAGTTACGTGTGTGGAAGGTGTTAGCTCCCCACAACGCCCCTTTCGGGTTCCCTATGATGGACTAGCTTATAAAATAAAGACTAAAGAAATTACGCTTTTACCCTTATTATTTCATCTACTTGCAGAAATTAAACGTCTACATGGCTCTAATATCTAATATGCATACAAAGAAAGCTGTAAAGAAAGCAATAAAGGAGAGTATATAAAAAAACCTCCGAGGCAAGCTTTGTATTAAGTGCTAAAAAATTGAGGATGCTTTTTGGCTATCCCCTCACTCTACAACGCTGCTCACTCCTCTATCGACAAAAGAATTCTAACTACAAAGTGTCTAAAAAGAGCACTCGAACTCTAGAAATACGTCAAAGAGGTTTAAGAAGAGTATAGGAACTCGAAATCTATGCAGAAGTGTGTGAAATGAGGAGGGGGAGAGGCTTATTTATAGGGATTCACACCTATCAAGAGTGAGACGGCTGTCTCACCTCATAAGTGGTGAAACGGTCGTTTTGCCATGTGGCGATATGGTCGTCTCATCTCATGAGTGGTGAGACGGTCGTCTCGCCTTATAGGGCGAGACGACCGTCTGGCCAAATGGGACGGCCGTCTCGGCTCTTTGGCAATGACTCTCTTATTTTTGTGTACAATAGGCCTTCCTATTCTACTATGGAGTGTAGTACATATGCCTAGGGACCTAAAGAGGTCTTGTCCATCTTCGAACGAAGGTCTTCTAACTTTATTGTGAAGTCGGGCAAGACTTGGGGTCTACAAACCCACTACGAGACATGTGCAGTTACAAGTACTACAATGTCAATGAGACTGCTCGAAAAAGGAAGGACACAATTATGGAAAAGGAAACTGTTTGTATTTTATTTTAATTCTCTTAGCGGTTACATATAATAAAGTATAAATATGATGAAATAAGTGTAATTAGGGGTAACAAATTGTATTGAGAAACTTGCTTCTTGAAAAAATATCGTATAGACATGGAAAAATTATTTCAATGGAATTCTTGGCAATTTAGGTTACCTCTTTTGTTGGGTTTCTTTATCAAATTTTGTTTTATCCATGGTAATGGATTAGATTCACTTTTCCTACATTTTATCTTTATCGCACATTTACTTTTTCTGTAATTTACTATCTTCGTACATTTTTCTTTCTCGCACTTTACTTTGTATGTTGGGACTTGTATTGAAAATCAAATTAGTATATTAAATATCACTGGTAAAAATTAACATTGTATTAATCATTGAGTGATCAATGTTAGTAATAAAAAACTAAGTAATTATGATCAAAGCATAATTGAAAAATTTTTCTAAATTGAAAAGTATTTACTTGTTAGTCTAAACTAAAAGAACCCACGTGGTGATAAACTGGTTTATCTTAGAACATTAATTCATATTGAAAAAAGTGGCACGCCTAAACAGTGAAATCCAACCAATTTACTCCATAAACAATAAGAAAAATCAAAGTATTCAGGTAAAGAACCAATCTCTTCTTTCACACAAGTTCTTGATCACTAAATTCAAAATAAGAAAGTCTCCAAGAACTTTTCTTAAGTAAAAAGTAGCTCTCTATCAATGTAGGCAAATGATTCATAAAAGATTAATTCAAATTGTATGTTAAAAGATTGAGAAAATGAGAGAGTTATATAGAGTTGAACTAACAATTTTAATTGATTAAAACTACATTTTAATTTAATTTCACTTAACCATGAAATTAATCGATCAAAACTATATTTTGCATATTAAAACAAAAGAATTTTTCAAAATATAGAGAAGTTTTAATCGATTGAAACTTACTTTAACATATTAACATAAAGAGGTTTGAAAATCACTCTTAAAATCCAGAAAATAGGGTGTCAAACTAGGCTTAGCTCGACGAGTCAGTCCAGAAAGTCTAAAAAATAGGTGAGACTAAGCAAAAAAAAACTATGGTTTAAATTGAACCACACCTATTTTGGTCCGACCCGTTTAGGTCATAGATTTAGATCAGGTTAGCCTAAGCTTATAGATCAACCTGTTTTGTAGAATAATAATAATTTTTTAAATAAAAATAATATTATTTTATTAATATATATATATATATATATATATATATATATATATATATATATATATATATATATATATATATATATATATATATATGTGTGTGTGTGTGTGTGTGTGTGTGTGTGTGTGTATTATAAATTAATTTGATAAGGAATTCACTTATTTTAAGAGTAAACATAAGAGTAAGTTTCTAGCAACCACTTATTCTAATATCTAATAGTTAAAATTAATTACTATTTTAGATCAATAAATTATTAAAACAAGAATGAAAATAACAAAAAATAAGTTTTTAATTCTTATTTTGAGATTAAATGGATTCATTATTTTATAATTTATATATTAAATTGTTATATTTTAAATAAAAACTAATTTCATTAATATAATTTAAATTTTAAAAATATACTTTTTTATTTAAATATTTTTCAATTAATTATTTTAGTATAAATATGTTAATTTTTTTTAATTTTCAAATAAGAACAAATTAGGCTCATTAGTACGTTGACGTAATATAAGTCAAAACTAGGTTAAAACTTATAATATGTTTTAAATAGGTTGATCAATTTTGTTTTACCTGATGAGTTATATTATACTAGGTCGACTTATTGTAATTGCTCTAGCAGAAAGAAAGTTTTAATTTATTAAAAATCTTTCTAACATATTAAAACAAAAAGTTGTCAGTTAGTTTATAATTATGCATTGATTTGTTGCATAATGTCATTAGGTTGGCTTATAATTATACATTGATTTGATGCTAGACTTTGTTGATATATCTTAGAGACTAAAGATTATAGTTGTCATATTCATAGTATATAATGATGAATTTAATTATACCTTATCTAAATTATACGAGATAATTGGTAAAGAAAAAATTACTTTGTTTGGTAGTAAACACTAAATATTTTTGTCAAGTTTTGATTGACTCATTAATAAATTAGATAATGTACTAAGCTCTAGTAGCTTCCTTTAATCTTGTGTTGGACAATTTAGAATAAAAAAAACATGATACTTAAATCAATAAAAAATATAATGATTATAAATATCTAATTATATGAAAAAAAATATACTATCTTCACCTGATATAATAATATATTATAATAATATTAGATTACTAACTATAATACTATCCAGAACATTCATCCTCCTTACATCTCACTGCATATTTAAAATAGGGAATATAGTAAATACTTTATAACTATAATATATTTATTATTCTTAATATCTCATATATTTATCAATATATATATTATTTTAATAATTTATTCGAGTTCATGTATCACTAATTTGTGACTATAAACAAGACTTTAGAGTCATAAAACCCAAATCATGAACTTGCCTATAAACTTTATGCCAAAAGAGTAATTTATGTATAAAAATTTATTTTTATGAAATTGGAGGTTCAAAACCGTAGCAATGGAGAAAAAGAAAAAGAAAAAGAAAAAATATAGTTAAGGATCATCTAAGGCTATAAAGTATCAAACGCCCAACAACTCTCCAATATTGCGTGCATTTACTTAGGGTTCAAGTATCCTTCATCAACGGTTATATATTTCTTCAATCTAATCCACAATGGCGGGGGATTGGGGATTGTAGGCGGCACACTTTATTCTTTTTGCACAGTTTGGTCCACTACAAGTCCACAACGGTAACTTTTTCATTCACTTTATGGCATACGAAGGAAACAATTTTCTCCGCTTAAAAGCTTTCCCAAATTGACACAAGCCATATATATAATAAACAAACGAATTAATAAATAAATAGATAATAATTCGTACAGAAGAACATGAACAACCCCCATAAGAAGAAACTTGTCACGTCATCCTACTAACCTAACGACTAATTATAGTAACATAAATTATAAAATATATTTGTCATCACATAATCTGATCAGAAAAGGACGGAAGTCGCCGGAAGAAGTTTGCGGGGATAGAGGGCATGTCGTCGCGGAACCTCGGATGGCGCAGGTAGTAGAACCCAGCCACCAAGACAATGCCCCTGATCGGCACGGCATAGAACAGCAACGACATCACCAAACACAGCACCGCAAATATCCCCGTGGCACGTGGGTCCCGCCAGCTAAAAAGCGCTTCCAAGCGCTCCCCTTGTGCCGCCAAGTCACCCAGCAGCGTCTGTGCTCTCCCGGCAAGCGCGCGAACCCTATCGTACCTGATCCTAACCACCTCCGCGGGACGCGTCGTCTGAAACCCGTCAAACTCCTCGTCCAGCTCGTCCAGGCTTACCATGTCTACGTACGACATCCTCGGATCCATGTTCTGAGGGACCCTCTGCCGGTGACGGAACCTCAACAGCAAAATCAGAAACGCGTACATGAAAACAGTGGGAAGCACTAGGCATGGGCACAGCACGATGGCTGCAAGCAGCACGTGCACAAGAACCGTCGTGGGAGGGTGTACCCATGTGCGGATCCCATCCACCCAACACAGTAGCGTCGCCGCACGTGAGAGGCATCCCACCACTCTGAACCAGTTCGCCTTGCTCCGCCGCATGCTCCACACGTGCGTATCAGAGTCCAGCATGAACTGAACTACTTCCTGACCCAAAGCCGGTTCAGACCGGGCCAGCCGCGCCGTTACTATCCTCATGGCCGTTTGGCGTAAGATATCTTGCTGAGCCGGGCCGAACGAGCGAACGTAGTGCATTCTTGGTAAAATTGGGCTTGCATAAGCCTGCATGAGACTCAACCACGAGGAGCATGAAAATCTCACTGCAATCTCTATCTCCCCCATTCTCTTCGCACCACCTGGAAACAAAACGACCAAGGAGTAGGAGTTTACGTACACCCTGTTGGTGTCCAGTGTGGACAACCGCACACGAATTTTCCCCATTCTACAGTCTTTGTTAAGTTTTCCATCTTCCCCGTGCTTGTATCTCCCGTTATCGAACACTCCAATGGTGAGCACCGTGCAAGGGTCGTAAACATCCCACGTGTACTGTTCGTTCCATCGCGGGTTGAACCGGTCCATGATAGTTCGAGTTCGGACCCACTTGGGCCCGTATTTGGCCACCACGTAAGCGTCTGTGGTGCCACGTGTCCCGTCTTTGGTCTTCACGGGAAGTAGGTTGGTCGCGCCACGAATTCCCACCTCGAGCAAACCCAGTGGGGGTTTTGCGAGTTGTTTAGCCGAGGCCCGAACGTCGCTGGTCACGTGAGCAGCTTCGTCTATCACGTGATACCCGCCTTCCAGGCATACTCGAATGTGAATCCTGCCTGTGTACGAACGGCTCTCGTCTTCGCTGGATAGGTTGAACCATCTTGACTTCTGCTCCGTTCGATCGTCTGTTCTCCGCTCCATGGATGCCACGTGGACTTTCGCGTGGCCAACTGTTTTGGAATTTGACACGTCCTCGACTGTTACAAAAAGAAACGGCTCAAACGGCTCGGCTGCTACGAACACGAGGTCTTCGTTCCACGTTGGGTTAGCCGAGCCGGGTAATGTTCTCCCTGTTTTGAATACCTGAGCGCCGAGCTGAGCCTTCACGTAGAGCTCCGGATTCCGAATCATAGCCTCGGATTCCGAACCTAGCTGCAAGTCCTGGGTTTGGATGACCGTTAGTCTCAGATACCAAAGCTTGGGAGACAGATACACTTTAGCTCGCGTCTCCGGTATCAATCCACCGGAATCGGATTGCCAAGCCTCCTGAAAGGCCTCGTCGGCCTGAGTCCCTATCCAAACGGCGAGCATGACATCATTTCCCGGCGTGGTTTCTGACTCCAGAGTGTACCATTGCGGAGCCAGAGGACTATCCGGAGGAACTCTTTTAGGCACCTCCTGCAGATCAAACCACACCGTTCCCACACAACTCTCACTCCTCTCATCCCCTTCTTTGACCTCCTCTAACCAAACAGAAACTTCCAACGACGTCGAATTGAGACCCTCTTTATCGAAGGCGAAAACCTGATCCCACTCTTTGCTGTGACTCTCGCTTTTGCTCTTCACGCTGTGTGTCCCTATCACAAGCTTCGAGTAAGCGGTCGAACTGGTTTCCGGTTTGGCCAGCTTCGCCTTCACGACGCGAACGTATAAAAAGGCCATGCGATCCACAAGGTCATGAGCGCTGTGGCTCCGATCGCCACTCAGAGATCGCAGTTCGTGATTGCTCACGTTCAGATCCGCACGCTTCTGTACTTCGCCGAGCTTTTCCTTCGCCTGCTTAGGCTTCTCCGTCTGAGCAATCGGTGGATTGTCCACATCCGGTAGCGGCGGCGCCGTTTCCGCCGGAGTCTCCTCCTTTGGTTTTTCTTCTTCTTTAGGTTTATTCTCATCTTCCTTCTTTTCCTCTTCTTTCTTTTCCTTTGCATTATCTTCCTTTTTCTCTCCTTCTGAAATCCCCAGCGGCTTCTCCTCCGCCGGTGGTGCTGACATTGCTTTCTGATCGCCGGCGTTATCTGTTTCCGGTGGATCATCCTCTACGTACCAAACCTTGAGACCGAGTTCTCCTTTTATCTGAGAGAACACGCTCCTCTTCTCTAACGGATAGTATACAACCGTTTCGGAACCAGACTTCACAAACGTGCTCCCAGATATTTTCACTTTGCCGAGAAAAGTACTTCGTTTCCCTGTTTTCTTGTCGTTGTAGAGATTCACCTCTAAAGTTTCCGAAGCCATGGAGTCTTTATCGTGGACAATGAACTCGAGCCTCTCGTCCCATTGAGGATTGAGATCTCTCGATTTCGTGTTCGTTCGCCTTCGCTGGCCGTCAAAGTCCACAATCGCGTAAGCACTAGCCGTTCCTTGACCGTCCTTCGGCATCAGGTTCTTCGCGTTGCAAACCTCGACCATGAGCTTCCTTCCAGAACCTTCCGACATCGATGAACCTCCTCAAGAGTTTGTGATAAGGAAATAAGAGGGGAAAACAGAGGGTTTGGTTTCTTTGTAGGTTTGTGTAGTGAGTCTCTTTTTCTTATTGGTTAGACTTTGTGGAACAGTGAAAATGAGTTCATAAAAGCAGAAGAACGTTTATAAAAGCAAAAGCGAGGAGCGGGACAGATAGGGGTGAGTGCCACGTGGCGGCGAAATATTGAAAGAAGACAATTTTAGCAGAGAATCCCAACGTGTGAACTGAGCGAGGGAGTCAGCTTGCCGGGTGCTGCCTAGTGGAACTGAGTTACGAATCGTTGTCACTTTTGCTTCTGTTTTTGTGTAGGTACTAATTTTTTCCAAAACAATACCCTTATGTAAAACAGAATAACTTCGTTGAAATTTGATGCAATAATTATTTTTATCAGTTTTTGGTCAACCTAAACAGTTTTTTCTTATAATTTAATGTCGTGTTTACTAATTTATAGACATTAAAATACAAGTGAATAAAGTAAGGAATAAATAATAAATACATTTCCCCTTCAATATATAACATGTTAGTGAATTTTATTATAATTATTATTTATAAATAATTTCCCACTGATTAGCCATTTTATATAAGTAACCTCCATTTCTTTGGTAATTTCGAGATAATAATTTGGATTTTTTTTTCACAGTACATGTGCTTGCTGTGTGAGTCAGCCACTATTTTCAAAATTATATCAAGGAGTTGGTTTAATGGCTCAAACCAAGAATAGGACCATAAATTCATTCGTTCCTTCTAAATAATTAGATATTAATTACACTAAAACAAAATCAATAAAATTGGAAAAATAATTAGATTTTCCAGTCGAATTAATTTTAGTAAAAAAATCAAGATTAATTTTTTTAATATAATTTTTATAAAAAATATAATATATTTTAAATTTTTTATCTTATATTAAAATTTATTATATTAAATTTTTATTATATTTTAATAATTATTTATCTTACATTATTTAATATATTTTATATTTGTAAACTTAATTATAATTTACGGAGGTTATGCAAATAATATTTATTATCTTTTTATATATAAAAAAACAATATTTTAAAATCAAATTCACTAAATCGATAAAAATATTGATTTAGGGTTTAATAGAATTAAATCAATTTGATTAAATTTAATAAAATAATATTTTTATAATATAAAGAGTATATAATAAATTTATTAATAATATTATTGTTAAAAAAATAAAAATAAAAAGTCACTATTATAATTATCATAAATTATATTAAATATTATAAATATAAAATATATTAAAAAATTTAAGATAAATAATTATTAAAATAAAATAAAAATATAATAAAATAATTATTACTTAAAATTGATGTAACTGAAAAAAAATTAAAATATATTATATATTTTATAAAAAAATTATATTTAAAAAAATTGATTTTAAATTTTCTTCTTTTTATCAAAATCGGTTTTGAAAAAATTTTAGTCGATTTTTTTAATTTTATTTTAATTTTATTAAAATTTAATTACGTAGAAATAATAAATTAATTAAATTTTGCACTGATTTTTCCAGTAGACCGATTATATGATTGATTCGATCCTACTTTTAAAATAATAATAATAATAATTATTATTATTATTATTATTATTAAATATATTATATTATAAACTATATTATTTTATTATATTTTAAAAATACCGGAGTCAGCACATAAGGATATTGTCTACAATTAATTACTAATAATGTAGACAAGACACTCGTGAAATTCAGTTCTGTATTTTTATATATATGGTTCCGTATTTTCTGTATTTTTTACTTCTCAATTTTTGGTTCTGCACACTCTGCTCTGTTCATCGTTTTAATAATAATGATGGAAAGCCAACTTTCAGCAGCTGCATTCTGCAAATGTGAACGTTGCTTTGTTTCCGTATGTTTTATGATAGCTTTTTCATCGGGGCAATGGGCACTGGAAAACATTAAAGAAAGATGTTCTGATCTTGAATGTGGTCGTATGATACTATTCTATGTCAGTATTAACTGCTATATGTACGGTACTGACAAGATGACAAGATGCACGATACTTAAATGGAGCTGCTTTGATGATAATGTTCTCTTAGGCGGATGGATTTGGGAATTTTTTATCCATCACCTCCCATTTATTAACGGTCGGATATGTCAAATGGCTGCGATAAATTTAGCATGTACGGTTCTTTATATTACCCTTTTTTTTTATTATTATTATTGAAAATACAATCCCCTGTACTTGTATAAATTAATCACATATATAAGACTGTTTCTGCTGCTTAAAACAATATTATTCAGTTTTAAACAAGTATAGTCAATATTATAATATTATAATGATAAATACTTGATATCGATATAATTAGAGCGAAATGATCGTATTAATCTCATTTCAAATAGAACATGTCTTATAAAGATAGTTTTTATAATCATGATTTTGGTGTCTCTGCGTCGCTTAGGTGGAGTATTTACGACTAGAAGTATTTTTTAAAAACATATTTATAGAATTTTGGTTAATTTTGAGAAAAATTATTTATTTATATATAGTTGATATAAAATTTATCTTTGAAGTTATTACATACATTAATTTATAATATCTTTTTTCTATTGTTGGGATTTTGTAGTTAACTATTACAAGAAATTGTTGGATTTGCTTGATTGTTAAATTTTCATCGGAAAAATTAAGAAGCTCTTCAAGCAATGTGAGATTTAGGTTGATACGAGCCTTGATAGGGAAAATCAATACAACAACCTAAAATATCAAAATATGCAGTGAAAATATTTTTCCTAAACTTGCAAGAATATGAGAGGAGCAACAAAATGACAAAAATAATCACAACAGAGAATACTAATATTTTTAGCATAGGAAAACCTACTCAATATGAGAAGTAGAAACCTACAGGCACAAGCCAGTCAAAGAAGTTCTACTAAGATCAAAGTATGAGTATAAGAGAGTCGAATCAAAATTTACAAATAAGTGCCTACAGAGCCAATATATCAAAGCAACCATGCTCTCAAATACGAAGAACAAAGAAAAAAACCTTAAAATCAGTCACAGTGCGAGACTGATATCTCTAACCACAAACCTCTAATTAACTATCCCAACGGTCAAAATGAAGACCCTTACACCACGAACCTGCTGTCAAAATTCTAGCCCGATCCAACGGTGAACTAAGCAGAAATTGTAATTTTATCGAGACGGCTTGGTAAATAAGCGAAACTGTTTTCTTTTCTTTTTCTCTTCCGAAGGTTGCGAAATGCTCTCTCTCTTCTGACCTAACAAATCCCTCTCCACTTAAGATTAAGTGAGATAAAATGGGTTTGACTAATTTAGACATTTTTTAACACATAGTTGGGAGCCCAACCTAACACATTTCCCCCCTCATAACTATGTCGAGGTGATCACCAATCCGGCGACCTCACAGCAAGTTTCAAACTTCTACCTTGGCAATGCCTTTGTCATCATATAAGCACCATTGTCATCTGTATGCACTTTTTCTAATTCCAACAACTTAGCATCCAAAGCATCACGTATCTAATAATACCTTACATAAATATGTTTGGATCTAGAATGAAAAGTTGGATTCTTACCAAGATGAATAACACTCTGACTGTCCACAAATAATGGATAATTGTTCTGCACCAAACCAAACTCCTGCAATAATTTCTTCAACCATAACAACTCCTTGTATGCTTTTGTAATGACAATGAACTCTACCTCTATAGTAGATAATGCTACACACTTTTGCAATCTTGATTGCCAAGCCACAACTCCCCCTCCAAAACAAAGTTTCAAATCACTAGTATCATAAAGATACCTTAAAATCCATTTCACGGCATTCCAATGCTTCTTCAAACACATTCAGGTTCTCCACCACCAGTCAAAATTACATACTCATTAGAAAAATACCTAGAAGATGGTTTTCTTAACCTATTGGACCTCTTGGTAGGGACTTGTGGTAATTCAGGTATATCATCATGTTCCTCTTGAGCTTCATCAATCGAAACCTCTACACCATCTCCAACTTGTTGATCATCAACATCACTATGTTGCTCATCATTTTGAGCATTAGACTTAGCATTATCTACACTATGAATAGACAACTGCCTCGGATTACCATCAATGAGATTATTATCTTTCTCTGGTGTAGTAATCTTTACTTTGTTAACATCTTCAATGGTTTGGTCTTTCATGAACTGCACATCACGACTTCTAGCTATATTTTTCTCAACAGAATCATACATCCTATAGCCAAACTCATCCAGACCATAACCAATAAAAAATACATTGTCTTTCCTTTGCATCTAACTTGGATCTTTCATCCTTTGGAACATAAACAAATGTCCTGCAACCAAAGACATGCAAATGATCATAGTTAACATTCTTGCCAAACCAATTTTTGTATAACACCTCATTATTCAAAGAAACTATAGGACTAAGATTATAACATGCATGGCTTCAAGCAATGCCTCTCCCCAAAAATGCTTAGGCAACTTTGCTTCAGAAAGCATACATCTAACTCTTTCAACCAAAGTCTTGTTCATCCTCTCTACTAGACCATTCAACTGAGGAGTTTTAGGAGAAGTCTTTTTATGTCTGATACCTTGCTGCTTGCAATAAATATCAAAAGGTCTGCGATACTCACCATCATTATCAATACAAACACATTTCAGCTTCTTACTTGATTGCCTCTCAACCAAAACATGAAATTCTTTGAACTTTTCAAGTACTTGATCCTTTCTTTGTAGTGGATAGACTTATAGCTTCTTGGAACAATCATAAACAAAAGTATCAAAATAAAGTGCACCACTAAACGACTTTACCTTTAATGGGCCACAAGCATCAGAATGCACCAATTCAAGCAGCTCTGACTTTCTTGAGGGAGGATGCTTCTTAAATGATACCCTGGTTTGTTTACCAGCCATGCAATGAGAACATTTCTCCAACTCTGCACTCTTCAATCCCAAAAGCATATCCTTTTTAGCTAA